TTGGATTGTCTCAAAAGAAACTGCTGAAATGCAATGCTGTGCCGAAAGTAAATTTATCGTGTGCAGTAAACGAAATAACACAAAGAAATCGGAGACATTTGAAAAGAAAACTAATGCAGAGTGCTTTTGAAAGACTACACGAATAAGCCCCAAAGAAAATTTATTTTGAGGCCGAGAACGAAATTGAAGCTGACAATAATAAATCAAATGTGAATGATTTTGAAATAAAACTCACAAGTGACAATGCCCTATGTGACAATATCCCTAAGTGCCCCTGGCTCTTTAATTAATAAACTGGAGAAATATTATCCTGAAGTTAACAGAGAACCATTTCGTTTATTTTGCAGAGTGAGAACTTTTATTAGAATACGTTTCTTAAATAGAAATGCATATGTTTTTTCCCAAAGGAAAGCAACCCAAAAGGTAAAAAAATGGATTGCTTCGAATGTGGCAGCCAATAAATAATGTTTCAACAACTTGTAGTTGCATTGCGACACTGTACAAGTAAGCATATATAAGATGTTTTGATTTGAAATATTTCTAGATGGCATTTTAGAAGTTAATAGCGTAAAGCATATTTCAAATGAGAAACTAATTCTGTTAAGTTATTGTTACAGTTATTTTTATGTATCCTCTGTTATTATTGATTCGATTTTGTGTTAGCTTAACATTCTAGATAAAATATATATAAAGTATAATATTAAAGTAATTAGCATAAGAAGACCTGCCCCCTAACCCCACTTTGAAAAATTAAATAATTATTTTAGGTACTGTGAGTAAAGTTGTTTTGCCTAAATTAAGATAAGAATCTTACATGTATTTATTTAAATGAAATATTGATGTAAGCCTAAGTTACAAAATTATTTAAAAAAATATATGTTATTATATTGAATCGGGAGAAAAATATGCCAATGTAAAATTTACAATTAGGCTGAAACTCAAACTTAGATTAGCAGAAATTTTGCCATATATAACCATACATGTTTAAAACTATGCCAATTTAAGGTTGTTTTTTGATTAATTTTAAATAGCTGTTATTATAGTAGTACAGTTCACTTAGTTAACATGCAGATAAAGAAATGATTAGAAACAAACAGGCATTCAAAGAAAAAAAAATCCCTGCAAATAAAAAAAGAAACTTTATGCTAAGAGTAGCGCACTTTATCTATTATTTTAAAATTGAATAAGTACTATTAAATTTTGTAATGTTCATACTGCAGTAACATTGTCTCTTCCAAATTATAGCTATCTTTCACACACAGCTCATTTTAAACGCTGGTTCTTCAAATTTAAAACGCTAATTTCTATGTTGTCAATTGCATCTCCGCGCTCAGTGGCATCATTGCTACGTCATCACTCCTCACTGCATGTTTCAGGGGGAAACACTCTATGAGCTAGCCCTTCTCTTTAGTCCTGGTTTTAGCAACCAGTCTTGTGACGAAGATACCATAGGGAGAAAAACTAATTTCACTCGCTAAATTCAACGGAGGGGAGAATTAGCTTAATTATATCCACATGGTAAGGGGGGCCCGCTTTTGAAGTAGTTTGAGTAAAAATGCTTGCCGTTTTTGCGACAGACCTGGTAAGAAAACATGATTATTTTTACGTCGTTTCCTGAAAAAACCCGTAATGCTCGGGAGGATAAGGAACAGATCATGTCAAGAACTGAATTCAGTTCATAGCTATTTGCTTAAGATTCAGAATCAATTGATATGCCAGATGAAAAAAAAAGACCTTTTCTTTAAAAAAATTAAAATTTGCTTTAAAATATTCTAGTAAAAAAAATGTTGCTCATTCAAAATAGTAATTCAGTGAAAGGTATGAATCCCTCCCCCCCCGTTTTAAGTAACTATGTGCAGAAATGTGCATTCTTATGATTTTAAAAATATAAATTTCTATTAATATAATTTTTTTAAATATAAATGATAATTTTTAAACAAATTATTTAATTGTTTTAAAATACTATTTTTAATTAAATATTTATTTAAATACTGATTTTAAATTTGTTTCAAAACAGTTAATATTTTAAGCAAATTAAAACTACGGTAATAAAATTGTGTACTACAGTCAAAAGTCTTTAATCTGGATATCCATAATCCGGAATGATCTATAATCCGAACCTCCTACAAACTTTCTGCACATGCGCGCAATACGTTTATGCATGCGCGTTTAATGCATAACGGACGGTATAAGCTAAAATTATCTAATTATCTGTTTCAGTTAATGTTGCAGATTGCGTTGTTCCTTAATCTTCTAATTGGATCTGGCTTATTATTTTTTCCAGACTGTTGGAGCAATTTTATAAAAGTAAGATTGAACTTTCGATTATGTCAAAAAGAATTTCCGATTCTGGAGCAGAAAAGATCTACAAAGCGAAAGCATGTTTCGATGTCCATCAAACAAAAAGTGGAATTGCTGCAAAAAATGGATAAAGGCATATCCTTTGTTTCTCTAACCATTCCGAAATCTGTTTATCAATTTCACGCTGCTCTGCGGGGGGGGGATGTTGCTGAGCGCAATGAACTGGAAGTTGATCTGTCAGCACTATCCTTATCTTCAGGGCAGATGATGGCAGGGTTTTTATTTTATTCGGCTTATAATTCCTTACTAAATGTAGTATTTCATCTCAATGTACTCCGTCTTTGATATGATTTAAATCAAATTTCTCGTCATAAATATCACGAATACACATCAAATAGTTTTCTGGTTGCAATTTTCTAATTTTGACTATACATAATACATTCTTTATGCATGCACACGTTGAAAGAAATGTTTAATAAAGTAAACAAATAAATATTAAGCTTTTTTTTTGTAAATTTTTATACCCTTTAGATCATAATTACTCTTTATTTCATAAATTACGGTTTCATATTTTTAATTTTATAATTTCTGCATGCCATCTTACCAGATTTAAACTGATGATCTATAATCCGGAATCGCCGAAGTCCCAACGAGTCCGTATTAAAGAACTTTTGACTGTGTCAGTAGTAGGTTAGTAGTTTCAAAATTGTGCAGCTAACATATATATGTTTCACATTAAAAATTAAAATTTCATTTTCATTTTTCATTTCATTCAATCAAATTTCATTTTTATTGTATACGTTGGTTGCGAATGGCCTCCAAAAAGACGTATAGATGGTGCTTCACTGTATCAATATTGCACAACGCAATTACTTTTTATTATATGCTGTGTAACGTCATGAAAAATTTGTTTTGAAATCGCAATGCAATATGAAAGTTATTATATTATAATTTTTTGTAATACAGTGTAAAATTTTGATGAGTTTTCCTTGTGATTATTTCTTTGCCACAGAGAAACTGCACTGTGTTTTCTTTTAAGAAGGAAAAATGAAATGATGCATATTTTTATCACAGAAATGTTATTTCAACTTCAAGAATCTTAAATATAAGTAGTCAGTCTCTTGAAAGGTTATTAGCCCAAATTATTAAATTGGTCTAAGATTACTAGCCCAGCAGGAATGTTAATTTCATTTTGTTATTTTGTGTTGTTTCAGTATAAAAGTCTGAATCACTTTAATTGTTGCCACCAAATATTAGAGCCGGTTACAGCCGAAAACATCGCGGCAAAAACATCGCAGACGAAAACGTTGCAGAGAAAACAACGCAAGGCGAAAACGTCGTGCTGCAAAACATCATGGGAGAAAACATCGCAGTTCTAAAACATCGTGGTACAAAACATCGTCATCGAAATTAAAGCGGTTCAAAAACTTCGCAGTTTGAAAACATCGTCATTGAAAATATCGTGGTAAAAAATAAAGTATCTACAAATCATCGCATGACGATAACATCGCAGACATGCTTTAATAACTGTAAATGGATATTCCCATAATGACTTGGTGAGCGCAAGATGGAAAGAAGGATAACTTTTACTTTCATATTTTTTATTAATTAATAAATTTTTGCTGAGAAAATAAAAAGGAAACTTAAGCATAGAAAATTAATGCAACTTACAGCACTTAATAGAATTTTAAACCGGCATAGTTAACTAACAAAGGCCATTAATAAATCATTTTTATGAAGTTTTTACTGGTAATTTTTCATAAAAAGTATAATCTATAAAACGCATTTAATTTTCTATGCTTAAGTTTCCTTCTTACTTTTTTCAGCAAAAAATTTATTAGTTAATAAAAAATGTGAAAGTAAAAATTATCCTTCTTTATACCTTGCGCTCACAAATCATTATGGGAATATCTATTTACAATTATTAAACCTGAAAAAAAAGCATGTCTGCGATGATTTGTAGATACTTTATTTTTTACCACGATATTTTCGACGACGATGTTTTCAAACTGCGAAGTTTTTGAACCGCTTTATTTTCGACGACAATGTTTTGTACCACGATGTTTTAGAACTGCCATGTTTTCTCTTTGCGATGTTTTCTCCCACGATGTTTTGTAGCACGACGTTTTCGCCTTGCGTTGTTTTCCCCGCGATGTTTTCGTACGCGATGTTATCGGCGGACACCATTAGAGCCTGCATTATATTTTAAAGAAATGAAATAATGATGAATCTGCATGAATGTATGTATGTTTCTCGCATTGTGAAAAACTACGGTGCCTAGAGACATCAAATTTTGAATACCATAGTCATCCACTCGAATATGGGCACTTTGAAGCCCAAATTTCTAATTCATTTTATTATCTATTTCATATTTTTGTAAAACTTTAATGAATTTTTGATTAACAAACTCAATGATTTCAAAGCGTTCCATTGACATGAACATCGCGTGCAGCTTCAAGCACGGATATTTATGGAGGAGGTTTCTTTCTTTCTTTTTTTTTTTTTTTTTTGGTTGTTGTTGTTGTTGTGATATTGCTGTTGAATTGTATTTTATGATTTAAGTGCAAAGAACACGATATTTAATAAATAAAGGTAACACACAAAACATTAAAAACATATCCCTTTGGGCATTTTTTTTCTATGGTCATTATGCTAAAAGTTTGCTTTCCATAAATGAATTTTACTTTGTATCTAAAATCTCATTTATTCCAGAATGCTGCAAACAAAAGGCTGTACAATTGATTGTATTTCTTCTTCAGTGCACAAAAAGGCGTTTGAAATCTTGTCCTTAAGCAATGAGATAGAAAGTACAGAACAAATTAAAAAAAGCATCATGTAAATGTTGTATTTTTTGCTAATTTTAAAAATTGTAATTTTAGAAAATATGCAGATTTTTTACATTTTTATAAAAATATGCAATTACAATTTAATTTTCAAAATGAATAATTAAAAATTTTACAGTGTGAAAAAACTTAGTTTTGGTCATTACAGATACATTGCATAGTTTTTAAAACATGATTATTAATGAAAAGTTTTCAAAAAGTAATTTTATTAATTCTTTGTGGCATTAATCCTTTATTAATATTCATATTTGACAAAACATTAAAATAATTTAAGAATATCAGGTTTAAAATTTAGATCAAATATGCAGTCGAAATGGCCGTATCCAGACTTTATCATGTTAATGTTTTTTTTTTTTTTTCCATGTTGTGTTGTGCATAATGTTATGAAGCTTTCTCAACATATTCTGATACATTCATGTAGACTAGAATTCCTCTTATAGGGCCTCAAAAAAGTTTTATTTTAATCTTTATTACATTAAAACACCAAAAATTTGAGGGGAAGAGTTCAATATTAAGAGGCCTTTTTTAACTCTCAGAAGTGCTTCAACATTTTGATGAATTGGCAAAACCATTCAACAGGAAAACACTGACTGTAATGCTGCAGTGCACCCCATAATTGCTTTGCATTTGACAGATTTGCATGCTTTGTTTGTCAGCTAATTGTCAGTGCATCCATTAAATAGACTTTGTGTTGAAATTCTAGAGGATCCATTCATGGTGGACTCGTAACTATTTATACTATATATATATTTACCCGTAACTATTTAGCATATGGGAGTTTTCTTGCAGCCATCCATTGACAACTAAAGATCGGTGGCACGTTATATTGTCATGTTGAAACATTTCTTTTTGTTCAGGAAACTGTATAAGTAGTTTAATTGGACAGTAAATTGATCAGTAAGTTGATCAAGGGAATGTCATGTCTCGGAACCAGTCAAAGTAGACACCGAACAACCCAGGTGACCACATCATGCTAGTTACATGACACTCTATCATGTTCATCTGTGTGAAACAGCTAGAATCAAGACACATTAGATTTTGGCATTATATCAACCAATTATATCTTTTGCTTATTCCAGTCTTTCATCCTAATAATGCTATATCAAGAATTAGGTATATATTGTAGTATGGCTACTAAATCCTACAAACTGCAGGTAGCAGTGGAAGTCCTTTTCAAAAGAGTTTGCAAAGAGCCTGCATTGAAATCAAGAGAAATTTCACGATTCATTACAAATTGTGTGAATCGTCATAAGTTGCCTTTTGATGGCATGCAGAAAACTTGTTATTGGTTTTTGTGTATGAAAATACCACCCATGGAGTACGTAATGATACATTGCTCACACCGCAGGACTTATTTAAACTGTGCTCATGAGTGTGTGTGACGTTGTATGAGCTATTCTTTTAATTCTAACATACATACCTTCTTCAAACTCAGCTTTCAGCATTAAGTTATCGATCAGACAGAAATAAATTTTGGATATTTCTGAATAACAATAATTTCAGTAGCAGATGCATCCTACATTTGCTGATCAAAGCATTATTAAAAATGTAGCAGTTTTTCTTTTGAAACTATTCCTATAACTTTTTGGCCTTTACTGTAATTGTACTTCCTTGATAGATGTGAATCAGAATATATGTAAGTAATTTTGATGCTATTCCTGTAACTTTTAGCCTTTTGCTTAATTGTGACTTCCTAATAGATGTGAATGAGAATATATGTAATTTCATATGAAATATATGGTTAAATTTTTGTATAATTTATGCTAGAATAAATGTGTAATTTCAGAGATGGAAAATGCAGTATTTCTGTATATCAGTACGGATTATGTGTTTGATGGTAAACGTCCACCTTATAAAGAGAATGATGAGCCTAATCCCTTAAACCAGTATGGGAAAACAAAACTTGAAGGAGAAAAGGAAGTGATGAATGTTAAACCAGGTAATTTTTTTATGTAGGAATATAATAATTTGACATAGATATTTTAAATGAATTGAAGAAAAATATATCAGATTGGCAAGTATGATACCTTACTACAGATTACTAGTTTTACAGACTACTAGTACAGTACAAAGTCCATAATCTGGACATCCATTATCCGGAATGATCTATAATCCGGACCTCAAAGGTAACATTTTTTTGTATGCTTTATGCATGCGCGTAATGCATTTACGCATGCACGTGTAATATATAACGCACGGTATAAGCTAGGCTAAAATTATTTTTACTGATTCCAAGGCATTTCAGTTAATGTTGCATATTGCGCTGTTCCTTAATCTTCTAATTGGGTCTGGTTTATTATTTTTTTGCAGACTGTTAGAGCAATTTTATAAAAATTAAGCTTGAACTTTCGATTATGTCAAAAAAGAGTTTCCAGTTCTGGAGCTGCCAAAGGATCTACAAAGCGAAAGCATGTGTCGATGTCCATCAAAACAAAAAGTTGAATTGCTGCAAAAAATAGATAAAGGCATATCTGTCTCAAAATTATGCGAGGAGTGTGGCATTGGAAAGTCAACAAGCAAAAAGAAAAAGGAACTTTTTGAATTTTTTGTGAATTCCCATACCCACTTACAATGAATAACAAAAAAAGGGTTCGTTATACTAAAAGTGACGATCGTGACAAAGTGATGATTGAATGGGTCAGATAGCATTGCATCGAGCGCGTGCCATTGACGGGTCCAATGCTAAAGGCTCAAGCCAAAATATTTCATGAAGAAATGAACTTAAACACTGAGTGCGCATATTCGACAGGTTGGTTAACCAAATTTTTGCCATGGTATAAGACAATTAAAAATTTCAGGTGAAAACGTTCAGTCGATACTGAAAATGCTGAACAATTTGCAGATGAATTCATTGACCTCATTACTAGTGAACAATTATCTCCAGAACAAATTTACAATGCTGATGAAACTGGTCTTTTCTGGCAATATGTACCGCGAAATACCTTGGCAACCCCTACAGAAAAGGCTCCAACGTGTGCAAATTAAAGCGTGTGCAAATGCTGCAGGAACGCACAAGTGCAAACGTTTCGTAATCGGAAAACATGCACAACTTTGAGCATTTAAAGGAGTAACGATTTTCCCCGTTATATATATCGCGCAAATAAAAGAGCATGGATGACACAAACGTTGATGAATGATTGGTTTGAAAACATTTTATACCCGAGGCTTGGCGACATTTGAATTCGGTTGGTTTACCTGATGACTCAAAAATAGTCCTGATTATTGACAACTGTTCGGCGCATACTTAAAGTTTTACTGAAAGATAATGTATCCGTAATATTCTTCCCTCCAAACTGTATGTCTATCATTCAGCCTATAGATATGGGAATAGTGCACGTGCTGAAATGCAAATATAAAGTAGCATTTTTAAAATCTATTAAATTTCTTGAACAATGGCAAGACTTTTTGAAATTTTTTAGCATAAAATCTTCTGCATGGAGTATCGCAAGACCGTAGGAGGATGTGTCTCCAGATACGTTAAAAAATGCTTGGCATAATTTATGGCCATCTACCATATTTTATGGTTAGGACGACGAAGATGATAGCCGCAAATGTGAAAGTATTCAGACATCGCAAACTAAAGGTGAAATTTTACAGTTATTGGATTTTGTAAAGAAAGTGGAGAAGCGGTAGTAAATGAAGATGACATAACAGAAGTTTTTCATTGCGACGACAATGCCCCAATCATCAATTAACGGACAGCGAAATCTGTAGTATAGTTCTAGATCCAGAAAATACCTCTTACGATAGTGAAGAAAGTGACAGAGAGATTATTGAAAATGAAAAAATTTCGATGCAAGTTAGTCAGTATTCTCGACACAAAATTACAGGACTTGAACGCGGAACTTTGTAATTGAACAAGAAATATGTCTGTTATAGAATTAAGAGAAAGTATTAGCAAAAAAAAAGCAATTTCAACAATTACATGAAAGAAGTTTAATAAAGTAAACAAAAAATATTAAGCTTTTTTTTTGTAAATTTTGATACCCTTTAGATCATAATTTCTCTTTATTTCATAAATTATGGTTTCATATTTCTGATTGTCTGCATATCATCTTACCAGATTTAAATTGATGATCTATAATCCGGAAAAAACCCTAATCCAGAATCGCCGAAGTCCCGACGAGTCCGGATTACGGACTTTGTACTGTACTAGTTACTAGTACTACAGATTAGATTATAGTATGATACATTACTAGTTTTATAGATTATTTTTCCATAGAACTGTTACATGCAGCATACACCTTTCTGTTCCTTTAGCTGTAGGCCATTCTCCACTTAAATATGAGTTGTTTGCTGTGAAGATGAATTTTATTTTTGAAATATAATAGTGTTGCAACATACTTCTTTATCAATCAGTAATTTAATTTCTCAAATTCATGTATGTAATTTTAATTGTGTAACATAACATGTATAACTATTTAATATATTTCAAACTGTCTACCGTATACTTATCATCAGAGTAACAAATAAAATGACAGATAATTCTGGTTGTCTGAATTACTGTGATGACCTTGATATTTTTAGAGAAAGTAATGACCATGAAAAGTACAAAGGGCAGCTACAGTGATCATTTAAAAAGAATGCATTGAATTTTCTCTTAAGATTATTTCAGGCTAGCTTGTGAATAGCCACAATCTGGTTCTTCACATGATTTGCTGTTCTGTCTATGGTGTTCCTTCAGTCAGTGCTTGTATGACTTAGGTAACTTGTTAAGAAATCATTTTTTTGGGCAAACACACTGTCAACATGAACTCTATGAGGGAAAAAAAGTAGAATCTGATGGATTTGTGATGGAATCCAACACATTTTTTATTTCACTTAAGATTGCACATGTTGAAAATTTTCAGGCACGGGATATAGACCTCTCCACTAAATTGACAGTGATTTCATTTGTGCTTTAATCCTCATTTCATCAAGTGGTTATTTGAGGCAGAAATCTTTTACTTTTGTAATCAAATTTTCATTTCATTAAAATTGCCTAATGCAGTGAGGGATCCATTAACTCCAAATTTTTCTTTTCTACAAAGCTTTTGTAAAATTATGCAGGGTTCGTACGGTCTTTAAAAGTTTTTAAATTTTTCAAAAATGATTTTTGGTCCTTAAAAGTCCTTAATTTTTGGTCAAAATGAATAAACGTCCTTAATTTCCTATTTAACATTTCTTATCGTTTCTAATGCCCTTCTAAGTGTGAGGTGATTCTCAGAATTATGGAATTAAAATTACATGGCTCTTACCAATCAGTTGGCGTATTGCATTGCAAATGATGGAAAAATCGCTACCTTAGAAGAACGTATCGGGGTGATTGGCTATTCACCCAATCTTTCGAAACAGGTGTTATCCATAATTGGATGCTAAAAGTCCAGAAAAAGCACAGAACAAAATTAAAATAGTTCTAACGGTATTAACGCAGGAATAAACATGTTCTACAAGATGATTGTGATGAAATTCTGCTGCAGTTTAGAGAGTTTCTAGGACAAAGTAGTTAAGACAAATTTACATGAATTTTCTACTTTTGATCCCCAAAAATCTTTCTCTTGACACATTTCTCACTTCTTACTTTTCATGAATTTTCACTATTCAAAAGTATGGAAAATATTGAAAATGATTCCTTATCTTGTCACATGGACAGGCCTCTGTGGAAAGGGGCTTCTCTGTAAATAAAGCAATTGAAATTGGAAATTTAAGTGACTCATCATACATTTTTCAATGCACAGTATTTGATTACATAAAATTTTCTGGAGGTATTCTTAATATCGAAATTAATAAAGAAATGAGATCAGCAGCAGCTTCTGCAAGGTCTAAATATATGCAGTATTTAGAAGAACAAAAATCTCTAACTAAATCTGAAAATTCAAAGAGGAAAAGAAATATTATTGAGGAAGAAATTGATTATATGAAGCAGAAGAAAAAATTTCTTCAAAGGGACATTAAAGATATTAATGAAGAAGTAGATGCTTTAGCAGATGAAGCCAAGACCAGCAGGAACATTGATTTGTTTATCAAAGCAAATGAACTTAGAAGAAAGAATAGTTAAAGAAAAGGAAATAGACACAAATAAATTAGATGTTAAAATATCTGAAAAAATTTTGGATTTAAAAAAACTTATAAATGTTTTGTATCTTTTATTGTATAGTTTATTATTCTAGTATCTTTCAAAAAGCCAAAGAAATAAATTTTATGTTTACAAATCTGTTATTTTAATCTGGAAAACATTCTTACATTTCGATTATAATAGTAGTTGACTGTGTTTAAATAAATATCAAATAAGTTAAATAATAATCATGTAAATCTCTAAAAAATCTGTGACTGTTATTAGTGTAAAATACACTTATACATGTTTTTCAAGAAATTATGTATGTTCCTAACTTAATGTTATCTACTTCATAACTTGTAGGGAGTAAGTTTAATTTTCAAAATTGTTTTATGTTAACCAGGCAGAAGGCGCGCACCCAACACTGACGTTGGAGATCGTGCGAGGTGACGCAGTTTCATTAGGAAAATGTGTTATATATTTTATAGAAACCATTTGAATATAAACAATAATTGCAATATTTCATTTAGAAACTATACGTCTTTACTTAAATAAACTTATTTCAATATTTAAGAAAAAATTCCATTCAAACTAAGTATATACCTAATCAGGGGTCAGAAGCTAACATATACTTCTGGCAAACATAGGAAGAATGAATTTTACATGAAAAATTATCACATATTTTGCAAAAAATTGTAGTTTTATTGTCTTTGGATCTTGGACACATAGCCGTCGGCCTTTGTCGAGTTTTGGTTTCTTTGATGGGCGTTACTCTGATACACTAGAAGTCGCATTATCGATGCTTTCACAAAGCACTTTAGGAAGCATTGACATATTTTTTGTTATCTAAATGTGAGGTGCTGTATAAGAGATATAGCCAATTTTTTAAGGAATTTTCTACTATT